GCCGGCCTTGCAGCTCCACTGCCGAGCCCCATGAGGGGCCCGGCGGTGGACCTGCAAGGCCGGCGGGAGTGCAAGGAAGCCCCGCGAAGGCCCTCCCTGGCCCCAGGCAGGCAGGGGTGGGGAGAGGCAGGGAGGAAGCAACTTACCCTCCCTCTTCTCCTGCCTCCTCCTGGCTGAATGAGGGCCGGAAGCGGGCCGGCCGGAAGCAGGGGGTGGGGCTTTGTCATGTGCCTCGCCCGGGGGAACTGCGATCCCCCGCGTTCCCCCCCGAAATGACCTCTGTTCAAATCCTATTTACATTTTCTGCCCTAAGCATTTCTGTGGGATGTCCATAATGATGTCTTTGAAATCTCAAATTCTTTTTTTTTTTTAATTATGACCCCCTTTGGGGAGCACTAGGCAAAGCAGAAAGATGGCATGCAAACTGTAAGTCTATTTTGTTAATTTTAAAAAATTGATTGCATTGCATCGAACGAGTCCGGTAGCACCTACAAACTAACAAAATTTGTGGCAGGGTGTGAGCTTTCGTGAGTCACTGCTCACTTCTTGAGATATCTGTTAGTTTTAAAGGTGCTACTGGACTCTTGCTGTTTTCTAATATTATAATGCTCCTGTATAGATCTATGGTGAGGCTTCATTAAGAATACTGTGTGCAGTTATGGTCAGTGTATCTCAAAAATGGTATTGAAGAGATGGGAAAAGTATAGAACATGGCAAAGAAGATGATTAAGGAGTTGGAGCACTTGATGTATAAGGAGAGGCTGAAGAGTATGGGACTTTTCAGTTTACAAAAGAGATGTTGGGGGCAGGGCCAGTTCACTCACTAGGCGAACTAGGCATTCGCCTAGAGCAGGCCGGCCCTTAGGGGTGCCAAACTGCCCCCCCCCCGCCAAAAGCCCCCCCCCAAAGCCCTGCATTGATCTAGTCCGTGACTGGGGAACCACCGCCGCTGCCTCTTTCACCCTGAGTCGTCCAGCACCCAGTGCGCCCAGAAGCAGGCGGGGATGGAAGCGAGGAGGGAGGAAGCACCCCCCCCGCTGCGCTCGGGGCCTGTCCTGAGGCGCAGGTGGCCTGCATGGTGGGGAGGAGGCGGACTGCGCCGCTTGAGGGCCCAGTGGCACGGCGGCTCAGGTAGGCGTGCGTGGTGCATGGAGCAGCCCCGCCACTGCTTCCTCCTCCAAGATGGGACTGGTTGGACCAGACGACTCCTCCACGCCGTCCTCGCAGGGAGTGAGGGGACAGGGACCATGTGGTTGGGGGGGTCCCGGTTTGGGGGGGGAAGGAGAGACGGGGGAAGCGGGCGGGGGGGAAGAAAAAGCAGAAGGGTCGCCCTCCAAAGAGCCTTGTAGCCCCCTCCCCCCACCCGATGCGCCCAGCCTTAGCACCCGGCTTGAGCGCCCAAGAGGCACGCAGCGGTGGAGGGGGCGCCACAAGGCAGCCTCCCGGGGGGGGGGCTAATTTTGCCTACGGCGCATAAAAACCTTGGGCAGGCCCTGGATGGGGGGCATGATAAAGGTTTATGAAATTATGCATGAAGCAGAGAGAGTGGCTGGAGAGAGCTTTTTCTTCCTCTGCCATAATTCTAAAACTCACGGGACACCCCACTGTGGCTTTAAGCCTGGGTGGCTAAATGGAACCTCCATATTCACATACTAATTCTGACATCAGGAGGCCATGAAACTTTGCCCCCCCCCCCCTCCTCAGTAATAAACCCAGAGTTTGGGAGTATTGAAATCACAGTCTCAGGCAGGGATTAGCCTTTGGTAAATACCAGGCCAGCTTGCACCACGTGCTCTAAGGCACTCACTCTGTCACAGGGGCGGTTTTTGGGAAGGTGTAACACGATCAGTAACTGGTACCGGGGGAATGAACGGCTCTGTTTTTTTGGCTCCAGAGCCCCAAAACACACCCAAACACACCCGAAAGGGCAAGATTTGAGTCCAGTCGTATTTAAAAAAGGATGCAAGATTTCAAGTTCTCCAGAAAGGTTCATCAGGCTGGATATTCCAAAAAGAAAAGAAAAGAAAATTAAAAGAAATGAGATCATTCAAGCCACCGTCTTAAATCCTCTCTTCTCTGCCTCCTGGGAAAAAGGAATGGCAGGCTGCACCCACGGCATTCTGGGAAGAAGAAGCTCAAAACAATGGACGCCCTCCAACTGTAAATAGAACGTAATTTATGTAATGTCCCCCTGCGGGGTGAAAGGGGGAAGAACACAAAAGGCCCTTAAGTGGGCGAGAGGAAAGGACACACATCGGAGCTCTATATTCCGCGCTCCTGGAGATTCTCTGTGCAATCCTATGCAGAATCTCTCTGCAGCCTGCCGATGGGTTTCGTGAGGCTTCGACCGCAGTGACTTTCTGCAAGGGTTTGCACTGCGAATGGAATGGACCCGAGACGGGCTGTTTCTCCTCTTTTCCGCCCGGCTCAAGCCTGGTGTTCCCGAAGGGAGACGATTCATCTCCCGGCTACAACCGATCAGCGAGCCCCGCAAACAAGCACGCAAGGAAAGGAAGAGGCAAAACTCTCTTTACCTGCAGCAGACCAGTCAGGTGCGCTGAGAAGAAGAAGCGAGGTGGAGAAAGAAGCCGGGCAGTAAACCGGATCCCCGCGGGGGATCGTTCACACGGAGGAAGCGCCGAGGCACAAGGCAACCATCTGACTGGCAGCGCACCAACACTGGAGCTGGAGGCGGTTCGGGGGAAGGACGTCACTTTGCCCTTCCCTCTCCCTTCTCTCTTAGGAAATCTGTTCTTGGATAGAGCCCTGTCCGAAAACATTCACGTGAATGTCTGGATCTTGACTTGTCTCTTCAAAGAAAAAAAAAGGAGTATCGTGACAAAAAAGAAGTATGTTCCCTCTAAGCTGTGGAGTCTTGTGAGCAAAAATTCTACTTTGTGAGCTGCTGGCATTAAAGTTGTGAGCGAGTGATTTGGCTACTGCATCATTTAGTTTGCTCTGGAGCCATTCCTTCCTGAGCTAAGACAAAAATGTGTGAGCCAGAGGCTAAAAAACTGTGAGCTAGCTCACACTAACTCAGCTTAGAGGGAACACCGGTCCTGACTCTGAGTTAGACTCTATAAAGAACAATTCTAGAGTATCTTGGGCTTGCATGCTGGCTATGGGTAGGGTTGCCAACCTCCAGGTCGGGGCTGGAGATCTTCTGAAATCATAACTGGTGATCTCCAGCTAGATCCAGGTGGTCGGCTGTGTTGGTCTGAAGCAGTAGAACAAATTTACAGTCCAGTGGCACCTTGAAGACTAACAAAGTTTTATTCCGCATATGAGCTTTTCGTGTGCAGGCACACTTTTCCAAATACATTGAAAGGAAGGTAAGGTTCAAACTTAAAGATGGGCTGAACAGCAAATTAACATGGAACACGATGAAGATGTTTTAAGATATGCAAGACAAAACTGCTTAACAAGCTAAGGTTATGCAGTCAATAGTTGTAAAGCAATAGATATGTCAAAATAAGACTGGGACTCTCCATTCACTCCTCTCAGGCGTGGAGGTCACTTAACAGCATCTTTTCTTTTTTTCAGGTGAGTATAGGGTTATGACCAGTGTTCCCTCTAAGCTGAGTTAGTGTGAGCTAGCTCACAGCTTTTTAGCTTCCGGCTCATAGATTTTTGTCTTCACTCAGGAAGGATGGCTCCCAAGCAAACTAATTTAGGCAGTAGCCAAATCGCTCGCTCACAACTTTAATGCCAGCAGCTCACAAAGTAGAATTTTTGCTCACAAGACTCCACAGCTTAGAGGGAGCATTGGTTATGACAGCCAAACATTCCAATATTCCAAGTATTACATTTTAATATACTACTCTGAAAAAGAAATACACTAAAATACAGAGGATGTATAATCCCTCTGTATGAGAATACATATGCTAACTCTTTCAGAGATCCAGTCTGGCCTGCCCTGGTACTCAGTCCTTCACACAGAGTGTGCTGAAATATCTATTGATCTCCCAATCTCTGCTTCTACATAAGAACATAAGAGACGCCAATGTTGGATCAGGCCAAAGGCCCATCCAGTCCAACACTCTGTATCACACAGTGGCCAGAAATGTGCCTTTGGGACATGATATTTGGGAGGATTTACACCCCTTTGGGGTTCTGTTGTATAATCCTAGCTGCCTTCTCTTGAAATGTGGGGAGACTCCTCTGTCTGTAAACAGCAGGGTTAGCTGTCCTTATTTGTTTTTTAACTTCATTTATGTTTCTCCTTTCTGACTGAGTGGATTACAGCTACAAGCAAAGCAGCAAGAACAGTGTAATATATACCACCAATAACTGGCCCTGGAAAATGCCATCGGGTTGCAGCTGAGTTACGACAACTCCATATTGCCTGAGCCTGCATGAAATCTCACGCCATCTTAGTTACTAATCACTGAGTGCACTTTATTCGGCAATCGTCAATTGTTTAAATGTTTTAACAGTATTAAATGTTAAGTTTTAAATGTTTTAACTGTATATGAATCTTGGCACATTGTGCCAGGCAACGTGAGCCGCCCGGAGCCCGCTTGCGGGGGGGCGGGTTATAAATACAATAAATAAATAAATAAATAATGTGGTTTTCAAGGCAAAAGACACACAGAGGTGGTTTGCCATTGCCTGCCTCTGTACAGAAGAAGAAAAGATTTGATTTATACCTTGCCCCTTCACAGAGTCTCAGAGCAGTTTACAATCTCCTTTCCCTTCCCCCTCCCCACAGCAGACACCCTATGAGGTAGTTGGGGCTGAGAGAGCCCTTTCAAGGACTGCTCTTCTGTGAACAGCTCTGAGAGAACTGGGACTGACCCAAGGTCACACCAGCAGCTGCATGTGGAGGAGTGGGGAATCAAACCCGGTTCCCCCAGATTAGAGTCCGTACTCCTAAGCACTACACCAAACTGGCATAGGAACCCAGACTTCCGTGGTGGTCCCTCATCCTAGTATTAACTAGGGCAGAGGATGGGACTGACCCTACTTAGCTTCCAAGATCTGACAGGCTTGGGCTAGCCTGGCCTCTCCAGGTCAAGCCAACCACCAATAACTACTCTGTAGCAAACAAAATTAGAAAACGTTGCACTAAAACTCAGTACGGCACAGGTAGTAAGCAGGTGTTACAAGATCACTGCATAATGCAGTGAAACATTATATTACATCCAATAGCATAATAGAACTGGAATACACAAATAGAAGGCAATCCAATTAACAGCACATACTATTTACAGTGAAGACTGCCTTAAATTCCACTGACATTAACTGCAATTTTATTTGTTTTATAGTAAAGGTAAAGGTTTCCCGTTGCTCAAAAGCCAGTTGAATCCAACTCTAGGGTTGCGGTGCTCATCTCCGTTTCCAAGCCAAAGAGCCAGCGCTGTCCAAAGACATTTTCGTGGTCATGTGGCCAGCATGACTAGACGCCCAGGCGCACGGAACGTTGTTACCTTCCCACCAAAGAGGTACCTATTTAACTACTTGCAATCTCTTGCTTTTGAACGGCTAGGTTGGCAGGAGCTGGAACCAGAGACGGGAGCTCACTCCGTCATGCAGCACTCGGGTCTCAAACTGCTGAACTACTGACCTTCCAGCCTGCAGTTCAGCATCTTAACCACTGAGCCACCGCAGCTCCTATTCGTTTTATACCAGCACCCTTTTCAATGATTCCCTTTTACACTGTTACCCCTACCAGCTTAGATTTTAAGAAACCTTCAGTTTCTTGGGGGAATTTAGCTAAATGGCCTCAGCAAGAGGTGCTGTATTAAGTGAGATCTGGCTACCAATGTTTTTCACTTTATACCAGAAACCTTTTCAATAATTCTCTTTTACACAGTCTAAGGACCTGTAAGACTATGAGAGCTGCTCCACCAGACAGAAGATGAAGAAGAGATTGGATTTATACCCCACCCTTCACTCAGAGTCTCAGAGTGGCTTACAAACTCCTTTCCCTCCCCCTCCCCACAACAGACACCCTGTGAGGTGGGGGCTGGGGCGGAGAGAGCTCTTTCCAGAACTGCCCTTGAGAGAACAGCTGTGCCAGAACTATGGCTTGCCCAAGGTCATCCAGTAGCTGCAAGTGGAGGCGTGGGGAATCAAACCCGGTTCTCCCAGATTAGAGTCCGTGCACTTAACCACTACACCAAAAAAGTCTTAATTTGTCTAGCAAACAGGGAAATGTGAGGATATCTACACAGCTCCAAAAGAAACTGGAAGGGGATATCATGTGCTCCATCTTCTGCTACAAAGCGAGAGGGCGAGAACTCACCCACACAGTGCTCATTGCATTATCATTGACTATAACTACATGTTTATTTACAGAGTATTGTCCATGTGCAGGATAGTTGATAGAGTTCAGGAAGCCAGAGCTCCTGCCCCAATGAGATTCCAAACCAAACTCTGACACAATTTGACTAGACAACAGTGAGAGTTACGTTAGTTACAGTTAGCTGCGTATTGCACTGTTTGGTCCTGTCAAACCAAACTATTTCTGGGAGTATGGGGGACCCATTCAGATCAGGACTGCTGCATGTAGGGAGAGGGGAACAGTTTTCCCAACAAGAAACTGCCCTAGGGGTCTGCTATGTTTGGTGTAGTGGTTAGGAGCACAGACTCTGATCTGGGAGAACTAGGTTGATTCCCCACTCCTCCACTTGCATCTGGCTGGATGACCTTGGGCAAGCCATAGTTCTGATAAGGGCTGTTCTTGAAAAAAAGCTCTGAGACACCTTTGGGTTGTGAAGGACGGGGTATAAATCCATTCTCCTTCTCCTATTATTATTATTATTATTATTCCAGGTATACATTTTCATGTCCAAGCAAAGTTTATACCTAGAATAAAACTTTGTTGGTCTTAAAGGTGCCCCTGGACTCAAACTTTGTTATGTACTGATGCACTTATACACAAATATTCTCCCCTTTGGTATTCACCTAGGCCTGTGTGATTGATGTTATTTCACATACAGGTGTTTTTGCACAGCCTTGTGGGAGTGGTAACGCCCCCTCCCCCTGCCATACTCACTTCCCCAAGACTTTAAGGGAGAATCAGTTTTAATCTACTATCCAGTGGGGGAAAGTATCCACAACTGCTGCACAGTTGCATCCCTGACTGTGTCACAAACCTTAACCTCTCCAGGTCAAGCGTTTGGATTCAATGAACAGGTTGCAAAGCAAAGTTACAAAAATACTTGAGAGAATCTAAACTCACTCAAGTCTAAGGTAGACTGCCACCAGGTCTTTTCAGTGGTTCCCAACAGTCCAGGAGGAAAAGACCAAATCTACTGACTGGCTCTGGAACTTAACAGAGAAAGTCAGCTCTGCCTTGTGTAACTGTAGTCTGAGTTCAGACGGCAAAACAATTACTTTTGGCAGTGGTCAAGGGTCTAAGGCAAATGGATTAAGCCTTTGAGGTCTATTGAGCAAGTACCACGACAGAGTAAAATATATATTTATTAAGGTGCAAAAATATTAAAAGACTGTGGAGGATTAAAAATAACACAGGCTAAGCATGTCTAGCATTAGCTAAACATTAAGTGTTACCTTTCAGTGTTTCAATTTCAGTGTTCCCTTTCCAGGTTAGAGAGATGTAGTAGTCCAGCATAACAAGATGTTCACACATCAGCCCATCCAGGCAGGATCAAAGTGGAATGCCATTGCTGGGTTGCCACTGGGCTATTGACCCA